ATGATCTTAGTCTATTGAGACCTAGCCACACCCATTTCATTAAGCTATGTACTATGTGAATAGCTGGATTAGTCTGCTGCATGTTATGCTCAAGTAAGGTCCAATAAAAGATTCACTTCTCTTTTTTTCTCAAAAGCAAATAGCAGATGTGATGTTTTGGGTGAAAAAAACATGGATGGTGGATCATTCCACTTCTGTCCTGCTGTCTCTTAATGTTCCAAGTCAGATTCATAATACTTGACAAATTTGGCATTAGGCATACAGATGATACATTGCAACGCTATTTCTTTGTTGGAGTTTTCAAGTGAGAACCCCAAGTTGACAGGCTGCTGAATTCTCAAACTCCAGCAAGACTAGTGGAATTTTTATGTTTTGCTCCTTCAATTTTTATTTATTTAGACACACCTACGAAAGTATACCCAGAAATGGAACCTAGAGTCCTGGGAGACGGATCCGGCTTGCCTGCTCCCTCCCCATACTTCCATCCGTGCTCCCACTTCATCCTACGGCTGTCTTTTTTCTTTTTCCTTTCTAATCTAATCACCCCCCTGATTTTAAGGGGATGGGGTTGGATCTTATTTTGTTCCAATCAAATCAAGACATGTATGCGAAAGCAAAGATGGGCATGCATGGAGAGCAGGCAAGTCTCGTCCCTGGGAGACGCGTTAATTGGTGTTGTATGCTGCCATGCCAATAGAGGCGCACTTACCCGTAGGCCGAGCTGGCGCATATACGGTGTCAAAGGTGTGACTCCCTACGGACAAAAGTCTTAAACAGAGATTGAAGAAAAAATGGTTTGAGAGAATTAAGTGATTGTATTGATGATTGAGTTGGATATTTATATGTCGCCAACGGATGCATACAAAGGTTGCTTCACAAGGTTCGCATCCTCTCAAAGGGACGCAGCGTTTGGACAAAAAGTACTAACTACCTAATTAGCTCAAGATGTAAGCCAATCTAATAAATGCCTAGTTGGCTTAGGATCTAAGCTAATATATTCCTAACACTCCTCCTTGGACAACGCCATTTCTTGAAAATCTCTTGTATAGTCTTCGGATCTTCTTGCATAGTATTTAGAGTGTTCCTGTGTATCCATGAGGTGTCCTTTGTAGATTCTATCATCTTGCAATTCTTCATTTTTAGAATCTCTCCTCCAAAAACCCGGTGAAAAAATAGGAGAAAATGATACAACATACAATGATTATTGTCTCCTTGATAACTCATATGAGAAAAACCTTGATAGGAAAAGTCTCATTAGTGAGTTTAGCGACCAATAAATATGCCTTATATACTTCCTTTAAAATCTCCGGTGGGGAAAATAGAAAGTATGACATATCATAATGAAGATATATTACCTCATTTAGCACCTTATATGAGAACCTTGAGAGTAAACCCATAAAGTGAAAAGGTGTGAAAATGAGTGTAATATGATGTGCCAATGTAATTCCTCTAAAATGCAGCGGGAAAATATAAGGAAAGCGAAATGGCATATGTGAACACTTGTATTTATATAGTCTCGGAAAACCTTTTATGAGAAACCATCAGGGAAAACTCATTAAGGGGAAAAAGAGTACAATATGTATGATCTAGCGACCATCGACTCGCTATGATTTGGGGGTTTTACTCCCCCTGAACTTTGCAAATTTGAATATTTTTCTTTGCAATATTGTTCTGTATATAACCTTTATGCATTTGAGAAATACAAGTGGTATTATCTTGATAGATAATGGTAGGTGACTCTGTTGAAACTTAACCACATAATCTTGAATGTAGTCAATCATTTTGTGAAGCCATACAAATTTTATGATGATCCGTATAAAGTAATTATACCATAATGATTAATAACAGTAGACATTAAAGTATGTGTGAAGACATCCCTTAAAAGATCTTGGGTGAATTCAGTCCGCGATATGGCATTTTCGGGACCAAACAATTATAGCTAATATTTGTATATCACACAATGGTCAATTCTTGATGTTCCCGAGGGATTCAATCAAGATCTTTTGTGCCTTGAAGATATCGAAGGATATTACTTATACTAACATTTAGTTGGGGTTAGCACTTTGAATAATTTGACAACAAAATATTGTCACACATGATGCAGTTTGCAATAATGGTATTGTGATATGGAACTAGAGGTCCCGATGCCACTTCATCATAGATACTATGTATAAAATGAGTTTGCATTCTTGTTAGCTAGGGATAGTATGACCATATGTGTCTTTGATATGATTTATCCATATTTAACTTCTACCATATTTTATGGATATGTTAAGACCGGCGGATATGTATTCCTTGTTGGGTTTCGTAGTAATTTCAAAAAATTTCCTACGCACACGCAAGA